TGGGGTTTAATACACTCAGCCGTCTGCTCCTCGCTATCTAAAATATAACAAGACACTGGAGCAAACTCTCGATCATCTCACACTTCTGTTTAATCAGTTTTCTGTTTGACGTTTATTCAGCTGTGCGAAAACTAGAATTTTAATTTCAGCCAAACCGATTTACTCAGGAACAAATAAAACAGTGAAAAAAACAAACAATAACATTTTTAAGTTATCTGAGTGACTTATATATCATGTTTAACCTGAGTAGCCAAAGATCGCGGGGGGTCTGAAAACGGTGTGCCGGGAGTTCGCTTTCTCTAGTGATGGGAATTCCGGCTCCCAACCAGCTCTTCAAGTTGTTGGTTTAATTAATTTATTATCAACAGTAATATAAAATTATGCACAAAATGAATTACTAATGTAAAACAATAACAACATGTTTTTATTTATATGTTTATATATAAATATGCTTTTATTTATTCACTCCACATAAAATGTAAACAAATCAATTATATAATAAAAAAACAACCATTTACATTTCAACTTTTAACTGTGTTATGATCCAATGTTGTCAGTGTTTGTTTTATGTGTGACTCCTCCCACCAGAGGATAGCTGTGGGGTTTTTTTTCCCCTTTTCTTTCTTAGGGGGTGGATACCTGGGCGTGTCTGCTGAGTTGTTGGGTGGAGTCTCTGATAATTAGATAATTGATTGATCACTTCCAGTATTTAACCACCAGATGACAGCCTCCACCATCCAACAAAGCGCAAAAGTATTCGGCCCCCTTGAACTTTCCCACATTTTGTCACATTACAGCCACAAACATGAATCAATTTTATTGGAATTCCACGTGAAAGACCAACACAAAGCGGTGTACACGTGAGAAGTGGAACGAAGATCATACATGATTCCAAACATTTTTTACAAATAAATAACTGCAAAGTCGGTGTGCGTAATTATTCAGCCCCCTGAGTCTTTGTAGAACCACCTTTTGCTGCAATTACAGCTGCCAGTCTTTTAGGGTACGTCTCTACCAGCTTTGCACATCTACAGACTGAAATCTTTGCCCATTCTTCTTTGCAAAGCAGCTCCAGCTCAGTCAGATTAGACGGACAGCGTTTGTGAACAGCAGTTTTCAGATCTTACCACAGAGTCTTGATTGGATTTAGATCTGGACTTTGACTGGGTCATTCTAACACATGGATATGTTTTGTTTTAAACCATTCCATTGTTGCCCTGGCTTTATGTTTAGGGTCGTTGTCCTGCTGGAAGGTGAGCCTCCGCCCCAGTCTCAAGTCTTTTGCAGACTCCAAGAGGTTTTCTTCCAAGATTGCTCTGTATTTGGCTCCATCCATCTTCCCATCAACTCTGACCAGCTTCCCCGTCCCTGCTGAAGAGAAGCACCCCCAGAGCATGGTGCTGCCAACACCATATTTGACAGTGGGGATGGTGTGTTTAGAGTGATGTGCAGTGTTAGTTTTCCGCCACCAGAGATGGGCAGTAACGCGTTACTGTAATCTGATGGTGGTGGTGGTCAGAGGGCCCGGTGGCGCCAGTGTCCGGCAGCCTCGCCTCTGTCAGTGCGCCCCAGGGCAGCTGTGGCTACAATGTAGCTTGCCATCGCCAGTGTGTGAATGTGTGTGTGAATGGGTGAATGACTGAATGTAGTGTGAAGCGCTTTGGGGTCCTTAGGGACTAGAAAAGCGCTATACAAATGCAGGCCATTTACCATTTACCATCTGATTACTTTTTTCAAGTAACGAGTAAAGTAAGGGATTACTATTGCAAAAACGGTAATTAGATTACCGTTACTTTCCCGTAGGAACGCTGCGTTACTGCGTTACTAAAACCGTGATTTTTTGGGGAGAATGTCTCACGACAGTGACGTAAGCGAGTGCACCGTTAGTGACAACAGCCTTGTGCAGATCAACAATGGATCACATATTGATTATGGGAGAGAGTATGAGCGTGCAGCGTTTAAAGCGTGGAAGTACTGACCTTACTTTGAGTTTGATTCCATGAAAAGTGACAAAAACATTAGCGTCCATTGTGCGTGGGAAGAAAACTTTACAGCGAAAAAAAACCCTAAACTTCCAAGCAAGCACCGAGTGCGCAACGACGTAATGGGGAATTCAGGTCCAGACCAAAAAGGCTAGGCAGCGCCTGTATCACCTACGACAACTGAGGAAGTTCAGGGTCTCTCCAAAGATCCTCAGGATTTTCTATACAGGCGCTGTGGAGAGCATCCTCACACAGAACATGACATCGTGGTTCGGGAACAGCTGTGTGAAGGACCAAAAAGCTCTCCAGAGAGTGATCCGTACAGCAGAACGCTGCTTCAGGACACCTACACCAGGAGATGCCGGACTAGAGCAGCGCAGATACTGAAGGACCCGTCCCATCCTGGCAACAAACTGTTCCAACTTCTGCAATCTGGTAGAAGGTTCCGCATCTTCCGGGCAAGGACAGAGAGACTCAAGAGGAGCTTCTATCCCCAAGCCATCCGTGCCCTAAACACACACACCCGCCCTCTCACATCATCTATAATTGACTGAGACAGGACTCTTCCAGACACTAAACCAAGGCACAATGTACATTTCAAATTCCTTTAATTTTAAATATGTTTATATTGTCTATCCTGTAAAATAGTCAGATATCTATTCATATTAATGTACAGAATTCACCTGCTTGCTGCTACTACTGCACATTCACCCAGTGTATATACTATATGTGTGTATACATATATATATATATATATATATATATATATATATATATATATAATGTTCTTCCTCTACACCCCCCCCCCCAATTTTTTGCACATGTCGAGGAGCGTGTCAGGCTACATTTCACTGTGTGTTATACTTGTATAACTATGCATGTGACAAATAATAAAGAACCTTGAACCTTGAACCTCACAGAGAAACTCACGGATTCTTCAACTGACCGCGGCACACCTGCACCAGGGTAAACCTCCGCCTACCGCAGTCCTGCTTTACAGGTGAAAATAGAGCAACAGGACCGCTGAGTCTTTGACTTTATTTATTTTCTGCTGTGTTTTACTTGAAAGAGTGAGTGTAAACACAAAAAATATTGTATTTTATGTGCTGGAATGTGCAGAAAATAGGTTTAAATGTTAAACTAATTTATTCAAGTCAGAGAATGTTGCATATAATTAAATTTTTGCTTGATGCATAAAGTTAAAAGATTAAAACTGATAAGACAAGTTAAAAAAAAGATACTTTTCCATTTGATTACATTTTGTATGATGGATTATGTAGAAAAAGTAGAATTGGGCTGAAAGATCTATCGCTTTATCACCTCTTCAGGTTGTAAATCGTGTTTTTAAAAAGTAACTAAGTAACTAAGTAATTAATTACTTTGAAAATAAGTAATCAGTAAAGTAACGGAATTACTGTTTTGGGGAAGTAATCAGTAATTAGTTACTGATTACTTTTTTCAAGTAACTTGACCAACACTGTCCGCCACACATAGCGTTTTGCATTTGGGACCAAAAGTTCCATTTTGGTCTCATCTGACCAGAGCACTTTCTTCCACAGGTTTGCTGTCCCCCCCACATGGCTTGTGGCAAACTGCAAACTGGACTTCTTATGGTTTTCTGTTAACAATGGCTTTCTTCTTGCCACTCTTCCATAAAGGCCAACTTTGTGCGGTGCACGACTAATAGTTGTCCTATCGACAGATTTCCCCCACCTGAGCTGTAGATCTCTGCAGCTCGTCCAGAGTCACCATGGGCCTCTTGGCTGCATTTCTGATCAGCGCTCTCCTTGTTTGGCCTGTGAGTTTAGGTGGACGGCCTTGTCTTGTAGGTTTTCAGTTGTGCACTCTATTTAGTCATTAGCACTCATCAGGCAATGTCTATGGGCAACTGACTGCACTCAGACCAAAGGGGGCTGAATAATTACGCACACCCCACTTTGCAGTTATTTATTTGTAAAAAATGTTTGGAATTTGACCACAACCAGTAGGCAACAGCTGAAGTGTATTGCCAAAGGACACAACAACCGAGACTGTCGGCGTTAAAACTAAGTAGCTGCCACCATTGTTGGAAACTTGGCTGGGCCACGCTATGAATTCTGGGATGTGGTGGGCCACAAAGGATACACCCGACCCATCCTTCAAATCTGGGAAAATGAAGGACATATTTGTTGGCCCCATTTGGAGCAGCCTTCGTCACGTCGCTGTAACTAATCGGCCTTCAAATCCGAAGGACGAGGCCCCTGAATTGGGACGCAGCTCAAATCAGTTTACCTTCAGTTATTCTAGCCAGTACCATTGGCTTGAGCTGAGGAATCTAAAACTCAACAGAAATGACTGAGAATTACAAAAAGCTCCCCAATCTTTTGATTAACACATTTATGACTAAATGGCTCTATATAAGAAAAAATATGCAACAAATCCCTTTGTATCATGAGACAAACAAAAGCAAGCAAGCAAGCAAGCAAGCAAGAAACCCCTCCTCCTGGTTTAACCTGCTGATGACAGATCATCAGTAGTAGTCAGGAGATGCTGGGCGGGCCTTTCCCGCACATGACCTGTGTGCAGATTGAAAACAAGAAAACAAATGACTTAATTCTGTGACATAATAAAATATAAAACAACATGTAACGGAGTATTTGCTTTAATTTGCTGGCTGTTTGTTTTTCAGGCGACTGAATGCTCACACAAACAAAGCCAGGAGACTCAGTGCATAGCAAATCATAGCAAATAAATATATAGAAAGAATAATGTACACAAAGTCAGTACTTCTGGGACAAGTGCAGAGTATCACAACAGCTCATCCACTTTGTGTCACACTGTGTGACAGAAGAATCAGAGAAGACACTATTGATCCACACAGGTATAAATACGGGAAACATCTGATCAATAAGTAGCTGATCTGTAATCCTTCCTCTTTAACGGTTTCTAAGTTTAGAGAGTGTCTGTGGGAAAATAAACAGGCGGTCAAAGATCATGCATTCACTGTTATTGTTCAGAGATGAACTTGAACACAGAGCATTCACAGTCTGAAGTGACTTTATTTATGACCAGACAGACACATCTCAGATTAACATCAAACACTTTAAATATCTGAGGTGATCACATCATCGCAGACGTTTATCTGACTTTATAGGACTTTAAACTCTGACAGGAAGTTACAGTCAGCTGTTTTTGGTTTTTTTTTTTTTCCATCAGGTGGACCCAGGCAGCTAGTAAATATTAAACTGAGTCAGTTTGCTGTCCTCAACTTGTTTTGTAGGTGTTTGCAGCTGTATTATCTGACAGCGCGGTCATTTGCGGTATTTGGCGAAGAAGGCGGTCAGTAGGTCTCTGTATGGAGATGTCGAGTGAGGAGTCGACAGTTGCAAGAGTCGGCAGATTGAAGGAGAGCGAAGGAGGAGGTTGTGACTGAATCCCACCAGACTGGAAGCAAACCAGTACAGAGCCATGGACTGTGAGGAGAGACACAGTGAGACACTTTCAGAATAAAACACCTTAATCTGATTAATACACAGGAACATTCTTTCAAAATAAAACCCTGAACAGACACTTTAATCTGATGACCTGACAGGAATGCGGGAGCGACTCAACACGTTCAAACATTCGTTGACTTGGCAGATCTGAACATGAAACATTCCTCAGTCAGAGCTGTGTTTATGAACAGGAAACGAGGCAAATGCTGCTTCACTCACAAATGTCGGGAGAACGAGCTCACCAGTGTAAAGCTCGTAGGTGGCAGTACCGACATTTCACAGACTGTGGAGAGATTAAAAACTTTCACTTATATACAGATCAACTTAATCACCTAAACCATTCAGTGGCCATAATAATCTTTTACCTGTAAGAGATATAAGCCAATTAGAGCTCAGATCAGGCTCAGAGAGGGCGGGGCTATGACACTCATGATCAGCTGATGTGAAGGATGAAGAATGCCTTAGAATGCTTAGATTCCATCAAACGTTGGATGGCTGTAAATTTCCTCCAACTCAACGAGGGGAAAACTGAAGTCCTCGTATGTGCTCCAGACAGATTTGTATCCCAGATAGTGAAAGCCCTTGGTCCTCTTCCTGTGTATGTTAAATCCTCTATCAGGAATTTAGTTGTCACTTTTGACTCGACTCTCACATTGGATGGGCATGTGAATTCTCTGGTCTGGTCTTGTTTTTATTATTTAAGAAATGTGGCTAAGTTAAGCCCTATTTTATTTTGCCCTGAACTGGAGATAGCTATACATGCATTTATTTCCTCACGCTTGGACTATTGTAACTCTTTGTTTATGTGTCTAAGCAAAGGTTCTCTGGATCATCTGTAGGTTGTGCAAAACGCTGCAGCTAGACTTTTGACAAGATCCTCCAAGTATTCACATGTGACACCATTGCTATTTCAGCCACACTGGCTTCCTGTTGAATTTAGAGTACATTTTAAGGTCCTGGTCTTGATATTTCAATGGTCAATGGTAACTTTATTGTCCCTAATGGGAAATTGATTTGCAGTATGTCCGTACAAACAAACAGACAACCAACACATCACATACACTCACCAAAATAATATAAGCCTGATAAAACAACCTAGATTTTTCATCAAAAAAGTGCAATGTGCAATGGCAACAACACTTATGGTTTAGTGTTATTAACTATGATAATAGCACTAGGTACAAAAGACAATCTATATCTCTTTGTCTTCACTGCAGGCACTTTATAACGACGATCTCATGGAAGCAGTTGAAAATCATTAAAGAGTTGTGTTCAGGACCTCTGTCCTGAATACAACAGGACAGAGGTCGCCTTCCTCAGTACCTGCCTGTTATAAAAGTCCACAACCTGGACCTGAGACCTCCCTGAAATATTGCCAGCCACTTTAACCAGGTTGTTAAGTCTGGTCTTATTATTCAGGGACATATTACCGTACCAAGCAATGATACAGAAAGTTAAAACAGATTCAATAAAACTTTTATAAAAAAAGAGTCATCATTTCAGATGAAACATTAAAACCTCTCAACCTCCTTAAAAAGTAAAGTCTTTGTTGAACCTTTTTCACTGTAGCAGCAAGATGTGACTCAAAGGACAGGGTCTTATCAAGAACAACCCCCAAATACTTATAACTGTCCACTAGGGCTGCTCAATTAATCGAATTTTAATCACGATTACGATCTGGGCTTTCAACGATCATTAAAAATGACTGAGCCGATTATTAGCCCCTCCCTCATTTATCCGCGACACCTTAAAGGCCGGTCCGTGAAAATATTGTCGGGCATAAACCGGTCCGTGGCGCAAAAAAGGTTGGAGACCGCTGATTAAGAGGACCCGAGGGAAGCTCGGAAAGCTAAGCAGAAGTTATTTGGAGAGTGACTGCCGTTGGTTGAAAAGAGAGTTTAAAAAAAAAAAAACTTCAGTGGTGTTGCACACTATTTTATATTATTTTTTTAAAGTCATTGTTAACCCTTTAAAGCCGGTCAGAGCAGCACGCTCCGTTTTGCGTAACTATTTTTAAATCCCTGTAGAACCTGAACCGTGTAAGCTAGCGCAATAATTTGTTTTGCATATGAAACCGGAGGAGTTGTACTTACATCTTATGCCATCAGCTTGTCCTCGGTCACTGTTTCGTTCCACATATAGCTTTGCAAAAATTGCATAAAAAGCGCTTGCAGGAACAAAAACATAATATTCCAGAAACACGCTTTGCCGTTCCAATCAGCTGTTCGTAACACTTCCCACAGTGAAATGATGCACATGCTGTTTTCTTTGCAAATTTGCATCATAGGATTGTTTTTTGTTTTTCCTGCAGTGTATATAAAAATTGCTGTATCTCCAAAATAAAACTATTAAGACACTCAAAATAAATTTCCTGTGGTGGGAAACTATTTTTTGCAACTTTATTGTATTTAAAGTTTTGAGGGATAAACCTCTTAAATTTCTCCAAGTAGAAATATATGTAAACAAAACAAAAGCAATTTTCAATTTTTTTTGTAGTTTATTGCACTTTTTTGCAATTTATATAATTACTATGGACTTAATGCATACATATTATTAAAATATGGGCTATAACAGTTGTATTGATGTATAGCAACTTGAAATGCTCCCACAAATGGCACTACAGCATGTAAAAAAAAAAAAAAAAGCTCTGGTGGACTTGGTTCTATAGTAGGTCTTAAAGGGTTAAATAAATATCGTCAAATAATCGTGATCTCAATTTCAGTGAAAATAATCGTGATTATCATTTTTGCCATAATCGAGCAGCCCTACTGTCCACCAGTTCAATGGTTCAGTTTAGAGCCTTGCATGGACTGGCACCAGCCTACATCTCCGATCTGCTACAGCCCTATATCCCTAGCAGGTCCCTGAGGTCATCTGATCAGGGCTTACTTGCTATAAAACAGACTAAGATGAGAACTAAGGGTGACAGAGCTTTTGCCACTGTGGCCCCGAGACTGTGGAACGCTCTCCCTCATACATTAAGATCTGTGGACTCGGTAGTTGTTTTTAAAAAACTCAAAACTCACCTTTTTTAAGACTGTTTTTGGTTAAATTTCTTAAGTTTTATATTGTCTGTTTTACCCTTTTATTATTTATTATCCTATGTGCAGCACTTTGTGACTCTGTCTAGAAAGGTGCTATATAAATAAAATTATATTTATTTATTTATTTAATGCCATTTTTGTCTCATGTTAACCAGCTTACTACACCTTCATCACCTGCAATATTTGTGCTGTGTGAATGAATAAGACTCAGTCTCCATGTGTCCCATGGTGTCCCATTTGATCACAGATCAAATTCAAGTTCTTGTTCAGGTTGAATGGGACGTGTAGTGGTCGGGAAATGAGGGCGGTCCAGGTGTACACATGTCTAAGTGGGCTGTAATGTGTAAAGGTTATTTTCCCTGCAGGTGTAGTACGCATGTTTTATGATTAAAATGTTTTTCTTTTTTGTAAATTTCAGCTTGTAACTTTTTTCCTGAATGTCAAATGGCTGTTCTGACCTGGTCTAAGACCTCAGGCAGACAATGTGATGGACTACACCTTAAACTCACAGAGGGCACCGTGGCAGCGATTGGGATCATCAGCAGAGAAAATCCTCTAACGGTGTTCAAGGCCAGCCGCTGGGTTCGAGACGCTGCGACTCTCTGCAGAGAAAAGACCTGAAGAAGAAGTGCACAGGAAGCTTAGATTGATTACACCACTGATCAGCTAATTACATACTGCTGACAAACTGACCTCTACGATGAGCAGGTTGGCGAGTCCCAGACAGACAGGTAGGATCAAGGTGGAGTCCGGTATGGTGAGGTCAGGGAACCACAGAGCACCTCCTGCTGCCAGCGCCCCCTGCAGGTCTGCAGGAAAAACAGAGGTCCTGGATTGGGAGTGGTGTAGACTACATCCTGGACCAGGTAAAAGTCACGGTACTATGCATGACTCTTGAGCAGGTGCACCAATTTTTCGAAGTTTGCAAACATATAGGTAAATATATTGTGCAGCCTGTTTCAGTTGTTTTTTTCTCTGTGCCTTAAGCATTTCTCTTTGTCTCTTATTCATGATATCAGCCTGTTTGTGTGCAGTTTGTCACGCAGTATGTCTGCTAGCTGAAGCTCCAGCTGCTGTACGTCGCAGGGAGGGAAAAGAATGAGCGCGTAAGAGAACTATCGCACAAGAGCACTTAACAAAAATACAGGAAAGTCAAAAATTTTAAGACATGAGGGGTGGCTCAAGACTTTTGCACAGTACTGTATCCTACCTCATAATTTTGGGCTGGGTTAGGTTAGTTTCATTTGGTCCAGGTTCTTACCAGACTGATCCAGGCTCAGATTTCGGAGAGCCAGAGACAGACTGATCCAGAGTGGCAGCTGAACCCAGACCAGCAGACTGGCTTTGAAGGGGTGACAGTTATCTCTGACGTAGAGCTGAGAGACGATCCGCCGCAGGTTCTTCTTGAACTGGAACCTGGCAGGAGGACAGACTGACTGGTTGTATGCTGTCTATTGGATGTTTTTTTTTTTGTTTCTTTGAATGTATTTGTTTGTTGTTGTTTTAAGTCTGTTAGTTGTGTCTCACCGGCTCTCTCTCTCCGTCCAGCTTCTCTCTCTTGCTGTGACTGACACTTCATAGCGTAGTCTCTTGGCCAGCTCAGAGATTTCAGCCTGTAGTGCCTCCACCTGCACATCACCTGAAGGTTACTATGGTTAGATTCTGGGGGGTTGGTTAATAATAGTTAGTTTTGTGGGTTTTTCATTGCAGGAACTAAGGGGCTGCTTTAGATAAAGCTTATATCTTTGCTCTGACCAACTGGAACTTTTTTGGGACATCTCACGGGGGAAAAAAGCACCTTAAATAAACGGATGCTTCTGACTAGATAAACTCAGAGGCAGCTGCAGAGTATTCCTCCAAAACATGATGAGGTAAAGTAAAGTAACTTAAAGGCGGTTAAAAGCTGATGTGTCAGCTGAGATTCTCAGAGGCTTCCTTTTTCATTTCAGTTTAAAAGGACACGAGGAGGAGGACGAGGAGGACAGAATTCGTGGGAGAGAAGGGGGAGGGAAAAATGTCTGGATTCCTGAAATATTTCTTCTCTCTGAGGACAAACTACAGTCTGATTTAAGGTCAGATGTAGAGACGTGGGAGTGCTGGATTTTCTTTTAGAAGCACAAAGATGGATTAGAGGCGGCAAAAACATCATGAGACCCTCAAACTCTGACCTGAGATCATGTGACCAGCATTAAGTATGTTGGATGAGTCTGTGGACACAGACAGACCTTTCCCCTCTTACTGACCACTCAAAGTATTTTAAACCATCAAACATGTTTAAGTCTGCTTTCATGCAGTGAAAGAAAGGGTCTGCACTCTGCACTCATCCGCCTCACCTACAGCCAGAAACAGGATCACACAGGAAGAACGAGCTGAAGCAGCAACCTTGTCATTGTGAGGTGACTCTGGTAACTACTGCAATGACACTGCACAGATGACCTTCAACAGCTACAGTGGGGCAAAAGAGTATTTAGTCAGCCACCGATTGTGCAAGTTCCCCCACTTAAAATGATGACAGAGGTCAGTAATTTGCACCAGAGGTACACTTCAACTGTGAGAGACAGAATGTGGAAAAAAAAAAATCCATGAATCCACATGGTAGGATTTGTAAAGAATTTATTCGTAAATCAGGAAAATAAGTATTTGGTCAATAACAAAAATACAACTCAATACTTTGTAACATAAGCTTTGTTGGCAATAACAGAGGTCAAACGTTTACTATAGGTCTTTACCAGGTTTGCACACACAGTAGCTGGTATTTTGGCCCATTCCTCCATGCAGATCTTCTCGAGAGCAGTGATGTTTTGGGGCTGTCGCCGAGCAACACGGACTTTCAACTCCCGCCACAGATTTTCTATGGGGTTGAGGTCTGGAGACTGGCTAGGCCACTCCAGGACTTTCAAATGCTTCTTACGGAGCCACTCCTTTGTTGCCCGGGCGGTGTGTTTTGGATCATTGTCATGTTGGAAGACCCAGCCTCGTTTCATCTCAAAGTTCTCACTGATGGAAGGAGGTTTTGGCTCAAAATCTCACGATACATGACCCCATTCATTCTGTCCTTAACACGGATCAGTCGTCCTGTCCCCTTGGCAGAAAAACAGCCCCATAGCATGATGTTTCCACCCCCATGCTTCACAGTAGGTATGGTGTTCTTGGGATGCAACTCTGTATTCTTCTTCCTCCAAACACGACGAGTTGAGTTTATACCAAAAAGTTCTACTTTGGTTTCATCTGACCACATGACATTCTCCCAATCCTCTGCTGTATCATCCATGTGCTCTGTGGCAAACTTCAGACGGGCCTGGACATGCACTGGCTTCAGCAGCGGAACACGTCTGGCACTGCGGGATTTGATTCCCTGCCGTTGTAGTGTGTTACTGATGGTGACCTTTGTTACTTTGGTCCCAGCTCTCTGCAGGTCATTCACCAGGTCCCCCCGTGTGGTTCTGGGATCTTTGCTCACCGTTCTCATGATCATTTTGACCCCACGGGATGAGATCTTGCGTGGAGCCCCAGATCGAGGGAGATTATCAGTGGTCTTGTATGTCTTCCATTTTCTGATGATTGCTCCCACAGTTGATTTTTTCACACCAAGCTGCTTGCCTATTGTAGATTCACTCTTCCCAGTCTGGTGCAGGTCTACAATACTTTTCCTGGTGTCCTTCGAAAGCTCTTTGGTCTTGGCCATGGCGGAGTTTGGAGTCTGACTGTTTGAGGCTGTGGACAGGTGTCTTTTATACAGATGATGAGTTCAAACAGGTGCCATTCATACAGGTAACGAGTGGGGGACAGAAAAGCTTCTTACAGAAGACGTTACAGGTCTGTGAGAGCCAGAGATTTTCCTTGTTTGAGGTGACCAAATACTTATTTTCCACCCTAATTTACGTATAAATTCCTTACAAATCCTACCATGTGAATTCATGGATTTTTTTTTCCACATTCTGTCTCTCACAGTTGAAGTGTACCTCTGGTGCAAATTACTGACCTCTGTCATCATTTTAAGTGGGGGAACTTGCACAATCGGTGGCTGACTAAATACTTTTTTGCCCCACTGTACAAGATGGTGGCTCTGACATCCCACCTGACGAAGACCCTGGAGCGGCTGGTCCTGGCTCAGCTTCGGCGCCTTGTGAGCTCATCACTGGACCCACTTCAGTTTGCCTACCAGCCTGGCATTGGAGCGGATGATGCCGTCATCCACCTCCTACATCGCTCCCTCTCTCACTTGGAGACCGCTGGTAGCACTGTGAGAATCATGTTCTTTGATTTCTCCAGTGCCTTTAACACCATTCTGCCCACGGTCCTGAAGGACAAGCTGGAGAACTCTGGAGTGGATCATCACCTCACCACATGATTCTGGACTACCTCACCGACGGACCAGAGTATGTGAGAACTCAGGGCTGTGTGTCGGACAGGGTCGTCTGCAGTACGGGGCCCCACAGGGAACGGTTCTAGCTCCGTTCCTCTTCACCATCTACACTGCAGACTTCTCCCATAGCTCCACCCAGTGCTTCCTGCAGAAGTTCTCTGATGACTCTGCAATAGTCTGCCTCATCACTGATGGGGACGACAGGGAGTACAGAGAACTGACCCAAGGCTTTGTGGACTGGTGCCAGCTGAACTACCTCCACATCAACACCAGTAAAACCAAGGAGCTGGTGGTAGACTTCCACAGGCACAAACATCCTCCACTGCAACCACTGAACATCCAAGGTATGGACATTGAGGCTGTAGACAGCTACAGGTACCTTGGTGTTCATCTGAACAATAAACTGGACTGGATTCATAATTCAGACGCCCTCTACAGGAAAGGGCAGAGCAGGCTGTACCTGCTGCGGAGACTCAGGTCTTTTGGAGTGGAGGGCCCACTCCTGAAGACTTTCTATGACTCTGTGGTGGCCATCTTTTACGGTGTGGTTTGCTGGGGTGGCAGCATCTCTGCTGGGGACAGGAAGAGACTGAACAGGCTGATCCGAAGGGGCCAGCTCTGTTCTAGGATGCCCTCTGGACCCAGTGGAGGTGTTGAGTGACAGGAGAATGGTGGCCAAGCTGTCATCCCTGTAGGACAACATCTCCCACCCCATGCAGGAGACTTTGACAGCACTGAGCAGCTCCTTCAGTGGCTGCGGCACCCACGATGTGGGACGGAGAGATTTCACAGGTCTTTGCTCCCCACTGCTATCAGACTCCACAACAAAGACTTCAACTGATCAAACACACACATCCACACATGTGCAATAAGACTAAGTGCAATGCTCTTTTTCCAACAAAGTTGTATTTCTACTCAGTTGTATAAAGCATTTGTATTCTATTTTTATCCTATTGTATATAGTATTTTATTCTATTCTGTACAGTTGTGTACAGTACCTTATTCTTATTGTGTTCCAGTGTGCTCCAGTTTTTGCTATGTAACTTTGCACTGTCCACTTTCTGCGGTGACAAAACAAGTTTCCCACGTGTGGGACTAATAAAGGTTATCTTATCTTATCTTATATGTGAAGCCCTGCGTCACTGACCTTAGAGATGACAACCAGCTGGTAGGCAGCGAGCGGCAGAGTGACGAGCGTCCTCACTGACAGCGTCGCTACGCAGATGCTAAACCACCATGGCAACCCGCTCGCCTCCTGTACGCTCACCAGGAGCTGTTCACACAGGTGAACTGGGGTCGAGTCCGCCAGGCTGCTGTACCACCCACCTGCAGCATCGCTGCTGCCACCTGACAGGGCCCGCACACCTGACACGTGTGCCCCCCCTCCTGATCTATGGAGGTAGTTGCCAGGAGAGGTGATGACAGGTGGAAGTGACTTCCTGTAGATCACAGCTGAGCAGAATCCTCGTATGGGAAGGCTGAAGATCCTCGACGAGCCCCCCACACTTAACATGGTAACCCTCACAGGCCTGAAATGATGACACAGAAAGGACGGCCGTAAAATATCATATGACTGCAACAGGAACCAGGATGGAGTGAAATATGAAGTCCATGTGTAGGAGACCACGCTGAAGGGAAGGATGAGACTCCTCTTCATCTTCCATCATGAGCAGATTATTTACAGGTTATTACAATTGGTGAAGCAACTGTGAGCTCAAGGTTTTGCAGTGATCGATTTATCGATGAGAAACCTTCCTCAGAGATCAGAAACATTTCAGGACTTCACCTGTTTGCCAACAAACAAACGTGAGTGTGATCGGTGTTCCAGGTGAGCTCTCTCCGTGTTGCAGATGTTGCGTCGTTTTCACTGGATGTCGTCTCTGTCTCTGGTTCATGAGGTTTGACAAGACAAAAATGGGCTCCATGTCCAGCTCGTTCAAATGCATACCCATATCAATATTCTAGAGCTGGGTGATATAAGATTTTTTCATATCATGATATGTTTTTTTCATTTCAGGCGATAACGATATATATCACGATATAAGCCAAATAACTATATTTGTAAGATTTAAATGTGCCGTTGCTCACAAGTGAAATGTGAAATAATCAGCAGCTTGTTTTTATTTAAATATTTATTTCCCATAATAAGTTCAACAGGGTAGATGTACTTAAGGAACATGAGACTTTTTCAGATAAATAAAGGCAAATATTGCAAACTACACAAAAGGCAGCCGCTGAAGCGTTTAAGTTTCAAAATAGAACAAACGAAACAGACTACTAAATTGTCAATTCCACTTAGAAACAAAATATTAATTCTAAAAATAAATCTTAGTTTGTTTTACAGAAGAACAGACAAAATTGACTAACTTTTGTCAATATCAAATAAACTGAGAACTAAAAGGAAATTCTCAATCTCTCCTTGTTGTATAGCTGAGCTTTTCAAACAGTTTTAACAGTTACTTTAGTCTGACAAAAGCCGAATGACGAATTAGCGCTTAAAGTCAGAGACTGAGGCTACGTCCACACATACACGGGCATTTTTGAAAACGGAGATTTTCCGTTTTCGTTTTAAAAAATAATCCCGTCCACACATAAAGGCAGAAATGAAGGAAAACGCTGCTATGAACATGCCAAAGCAGCAGGTGGAGCTAGATTCCTAACCGTGCAGAAATGTTGGCCAATCAGAAGTCTAGAAGCCTCGGTGGGAAAAAGTAAACAAAGCTGGGGCATAGAAGCTAGTGATGTGCGATACCACTGATTTCCTTTCCGATCCCAAGTACTTTTCAGGGTGGTATCGACGATACTGATCAGATACCGATACTTTATACAAAAAAACGTATTTTATTTATTTATCTCAAATTATAGCGTCATAATGATTACAGGACATCAGATTACTTGTTCTTATCACTTAATAATGCAGAGTTCATCATATAGAAATAAAAAAAACTGAAGTTGTGCGCTATTTGAACACGTTGCCTGCCTGCAGCACTAAAGGACTCTGTGAGAGACGTGTGTCTCGCCCTAGCAGCACCTGTCCCTCTCCTCCTCTTCAGTTCGTCTCAACATACGCGCCTCATATTCTGTGATATGATTTACTCTGAGGTGTTTGACAAGGTTAGTGATGTTGCCACAACCAAACATGCCAACCCTCCCGATTTTTCCGGGAGAATCCCGGAACCACCATTCTCCCGAATTTCCACCTGGACAACAAAATTGAAAAACCATATTGCAGAATTCATAGCGCGGCCGAGCCAATTCCAGTTTCCAACAATGGCGGCAGCTACTTAGTTTTAATATTACTCTTCTTTCTCTTTCTGGGTCGCAAAAAAAACCCAACTTTTAACATGTTTTCAGGTGAGAATGTAGCTGTGTAAACTTCAAATATCTGAGCCGATCAACACATCGTCTTCAAACCCCCGCAGGCTTTCACTACTTGGGTTAAACATGATATATAAGTCACTTTGATAACTTAAAAATGTTATTGTTTGGCTTTTTCAGTGTTTTGTTTGTTCGTGAGTAAATCGGTTTGGCTGAGATTAAAGTTATTAGATTAGATTAAATTAAATTTAACTTTATTAATCCCACAGGTGTGTTCCTCCGGGGTTTTCACACTGCTGAATAAACATCAAACAGAAAACTAATTAAAGAAAGTGTGAGACGGTCGAGAGTTTATGCCAGCGCCCGGTTATATTTTAGATAGCAAGGAGCAGACGGCTGAGTTTCACTCCACCGAGGGAACTCAAGACGTACTACCCGGCTTTCTTTAGACCGCGAAGGGCGGGTCCTCAGGTGGAAGCAGCCTCTGAATTTGGACACCCCCGCTGTTTCGGTGACATTTAACGTATTTTATCTGATAAATAAACCCTGTAAAATGTGCCCTTTTGATTGTCTCCCTAATTCTGAGGTCTCAAGGTTGGGAAAGTATAGCCACAACACCTCACTCTTGGAGCACTTTTTTGCCACATGTATCGCAAACCATGTCTCAGCTGTTTGTGGAGGTAAAATACGTCTGCACAATTAGGCTCAGCCATTGTTGTGAGTGCGCGCGCCAAGGGGCTGCGAGCCATTTATACAGCCGTATTTCGCACATGACTATGAAAGGCAGAAGAGGGCAAAGAGGGTACAGTGGGGCAAAAAAGTATTTAGTCAGCCACCGATTGTGCAAGTTCCCCCACTTAAAATGATGACAGAGGTCAGTAATTTGCACCAGAGGTACACTTCAACTGTGAGAGACAGAATGTGGAAAAAAAAAATCCATGAATCCACATGGTAGGATTTGTAAAGAATTTATTCGTAAATCAGGAAAATAAGTATTTGGTCAATAACAAAAATACAACTCAATACTTTGTAACATAACCTTTGTTGGCAATAACAGAGGTCAAACGTTTACTATAGGTCTTTACCAGGTTTGCACACACAGTAGCTGGTATTTTGGCCCATTCCTCCATGCAGATCTTCTCGAGAGCAGTGATGTTTTGGGGCTGTCGCCGAGCAACACGGACTTTCAACTCCCGCCACAGATTTTCTATGGGGTTGAGGTCTGGAGACTGGCTAGGCCACTCCAGGACTTTCAAATGCTTCTTACGGAGCCACTCCTTTGTTGCCCGGGCGGTGTGTTTTGGATCATTGTCATGTTGGAAGACCCAGCCTCGTTTCATCTTCAAAGTTCTCACTGATGGAAGGAGGTTTTGGCTCAAAATCTCACCATACATGGCCCCATTCATTCTGTCCTTAACACGGATCAGTCGTCCTGTCCCCTTGGCAGAAAAACAGCCCCATAGCATGATGTTTCCACCCCCATGCTTCACAGTAGGTATGGTGTTCTTGGGATGCAACTCAGTATTCTTCTTCCTCCAAACACGACGAGTTGAGTTTATACCAAAAAGTTCTACTTTGGTTTCATCTGACCACATGACATTCTCCCAATCCTCTGCTGTATCATCCATGTGCTCTCTGGCAAACTTCAGACGGGCCTGGACATGCACTGGCTTCAGCAGCGGAACACGTCTGGCACTGCGGGATTTGATTCCCTGCCGTTGTAGTGTGTTACTGATGGTGACCTTTGTTACTTTGGTCCCAGCTCTCTGCAGGTCATTCACCAGGTCCCCCCGTGTGGTTCTGGGATCTTTGCTCACCGTTCTCATGATCATTTTGACCCCACGGGATGAGATCTTGCGTGGAGCCCCAGATCGAGGGAGATTATCAGTGGTCTTGTATGTCTTCCATTTTTTGATGATTGCTCCCACAGTTGATTTTTTCACACCAAGCTGCTTGCCTATTGTAGATTCACTCTTCCCAGTCTGGTGCAGGTCTACAATACTTTTCCTGGTGTCCTTCGAAAGCTCTTTGGTCTTGGCCATGGCGGAGTTTGGAGTCTGACTGTTTGAGGCTGTGGACAGGTGTCTTTTATGCAGATGATGAGTTCAAACAGGTGCCATTCATACAGGTAACGAGTGGGGGACAGAAAAGCTTCTTACAGAAGACGTTACAGGTCTGTGAGAGCCAGAGATTTTCCTTGTTTGAGGTGACCAAATACTTATTTTCCACCCTAATTTACGAATAAATTCTTTACAAATCCTACCATGTGAATTCATGGATTTTTTTTTCACATTCTGTCTCTCACAGTTGAAGTGTACCTCTGGTGCAAATTACTGACCTCTGTCATCATTTTAAGTGGGGGAACTTGTACAATCGGTGGCTGACTAAATACTTTTTTGCCCCACTGTAGCTGTTGAATGTAGACAATCCGAATGTTATAGTTTCTTTCCACTGTGTTGCTGTTAATGATAAACTACAAATTAACCCTAAATTACTAAAAACATCAATATTTTAATGTGAGAATCGATTCTAGAACATAAATGACTGGTATCGGAGGAATCGATATTTCAGGATCGATCCGCACATCACTAATAAAAGCAGAACCGGGTCGTATGTGTGGAGGGACAGTAACTGTGTGTATATGTAAGCATTTAAACACTGCAGAGAGTAGAATTAACAGTAACAGTATTGTAGAAATTCATTTCACCGACACAATAACGTGGCGCACAGTGTGACGTCAAAAAATGCGCACATTTTTGATGCTGTGTTTTCTCCGTTTTTCTAGTCCACACGTAAATACAAAAACGGAGTTTTCAAAAATATCCACCCTGGCCGGAGTTTTTAAAAATCTTCGTTTTCAGTGACCAAAAACGCCGTTTACGTGTGGACGAAAGGTGCAAACGCATAGAAAAAATCTGCATTTTCAAAAATACCCGGGTACGTGTGGACATAGCCTGAGCATGCACCAGTTTATTGTATTTCCAGACTTGCTTTCGGCACAATTTACAGTGAACGCTACTCTGTTTTTTGTCAGACTTGAAATAGCCGAAATACCTTCACACTATGGAACTTCTATGGCTCTTCCGTTCGACAATCTCTCCGGCATTGGAACCATCATCTGTTTTCTCTTCCGAGCGTGGTCACGCTCGGTTGATTTTTCTAGTCGGCAAACTCATTTCCTCCATTACCCGGGCGGTACGGTGGCTGGCTGCTGTACGTAACAAGTCACTTTACGTCACGTGACGCTGCGGCTGTGATTGGTTCGGCTCTGCGCTACTTAATTTGGATTGGCTGTTCTTTTTTTTCTTTTTTTTAAGAGGATAAGAGCGGCAAGGTCTATCGCAATAGTTTAATTTTTCTATCAAGAAAAAGTTATATCGCAATACATATCGTTATCGTTCTATCGCCCAGCTCTACAATATTCTCATCAGACCACAATTCAATTATTTGAATTTTTTTTTTTTTTTAAATCAAAAAGTCTTCCACCTAGTCTCACACCTCTGTCCTTCTGTAACTTAAATAACAAGCCAACATTTTCCTCATGACGCTACAGACAAAGCCTCAAGTTTACCTGCAAACATCCTGTTCACCTGTCAGCTGTTTAACACCTGCTGATCACGGAGAGTGGAATATGTAAACGGATCAGGTAGCTGTGAAGATCAGCTGCTATTATTTGGCACAGGGGAAAATGGGGTGATTTGGTTTTTGATTGTTGCGTATGAACAGTTATAGAAAAGTCTGAAAACATTTCACAGATGTGTTAGAGATTTGGTAAGCTAGACTGTGAGTCGATACTCAAAACTGTTGGATGATGCCTTTTTTCAAAATGGTGTTGTTGGGGTAATTTGTGCCAAGGGGCCACACTTATGAATATTTTAAACATATTATTTTATTGTAACTGTAGATTGTATTTTTATAGTTTTCCACTGTGACATTCTTAATTTCAGACCAAAAACAGAAACAGACCCTCATGCCACAGAGTTATAATAGAGAGAGTTTACTGAGTGAATGAGGTGGAGAAGGGAAGTCCATTCATCAGGTGGCGAGGAAGATCAACATCCAGGATGACATTAAAATGATACATGGAAAAGAAGAAGATGGATGGTGTAAAAGTGAATATGTAAAGCTAGCTAATATATAATATAACGTAATATAATGTTTGTGCTTTTGTTTTAGTAACTTACTGTGTGACCAGACGTGAATGTTGCAAACGGAAACTAGCTTGATGTAACAAAAGACGCAAGAAAACTGCAAACTACTGATAATGGAGAAAAGGGAGAGAAAAACAATAGTAGAAAAATGAATGGCTCTAGCTACAGTCGACAGGGGAATAAGCTCTTACGTTGGTTCGTTGTCTGATACACGGCAAGGAATAATAAAAGTCATTCAACAACCATCAGTTCTGGCCTTCTCAGTTCGGCTGGATGCTACAGATGGAAATGCCATCAAGTCTTTGACACAACATCTAAAAGGCACTAGCAGCCTTTATATGTTCGTTTCTTTGTGAATACTCAAAAGCCAGTTCATGCACAAAGAAATTAGATTTTGATCCAGCTGGCAGGGATATCACATGCAAAAGCAGGTTTGGCTAAGTGTGCATTTATTAAGAAAAAGTAATAGAGAATATTCATAATTATTTCCCATAGAGAAAATGTGCATAAAACCATTAACCGCATCACAAAAACTTGGTGGTAGAGCCAGAAGGGAGCAGTGAGTAGCATCAACAGCTGGGATGTTATGGAGTAGGCCAGATTTGTGAAGACAACTGCAGTTAATTTCGTCTTCATTTGAATGTCATTTTGTTCTGAACATGTCAGAACATTTTTACTGCTCAACATCCTGAAATATGTGTACATGTTTTAGTTGGACATTACGGTCGCTTTAAAATCACTTTAAGTAAAAACTGGCACAACTCACCCCACTCTCCCCTACATTAATTAAAGACATCTCATGCGTTCTCCTGTTAACAGCTCGATATTGCATCTTTTTTTTAATGAACTTTATTTAGAACAATAACAATGACAATCTCAGAGACAAGCGACATATTGAATCATTCAGAACAGAATCACACCTCCTTTTTCTTTTCTTCGATATTGCAATCTTTAACATGACCGTACAGCGGAAACGTACCTGTGTGACGTCAGCCGTTAGGTGCTCTGTGCTCGGGGTCAGAGGCTGAATAAATCATTAAATCCCCGATTTTATTTGCTTGTATCTGTTCTATCACCTTGGCGCCTCCAACCACACGCTACGCTGTGTCCCACGTTTATGACGTTACACTGTTTACCACTTTGTGTCGGGTGAATGTGACGTCACTATGTGATTATAGATGAGTAAAAAAAAACAACCCCTCCCCCCCCCCTTCACCGCACCGCTGATGTTTCAGATAAAAAAATTTCAGATTATCTAAACACGAACCAGCTTTATCGCTCCAATCAAAATATTTAAAGCCCGCTGAATATGTATCAAAAACCGTCATTTTTCCCGCCGGACGTTTCTTTTAATGTGAAAGAGCAGAGCGGAAGCGTGGCATCAGCGAATGTAGTTCTGCTTCCGATTCCTGTGTTTGACTACTGCAGTCATGGCGGAGTACAGCCAGACTGGCCTTCTGGTGGCCCTGTTCCTCTTCACGGCGCTCACCCTCCGGGACATTTATGTCGGAAGGTCGAGCTCGCAGAGTGGGCACCAACCACCCGACAACCCTGCCGTCTTCCCGGACACGGAACCGGGAAAGCCCGCTAAGGCGGCGATCTACAGCGGCCCCGTACTGCGGTTCCAGTACTGGTGAGTTAACGCAGAAGCTAACGGAGGCTAGCGGTGAGCATCCGTGAGAATGACCGAGGTGAAGAGAAACTAAAGACAGGGTGGGTGAAAATCTAAACACAAACCATCGACAATACGAGTTAAGTTGGCGTGATCTACGGCGCCAGCGCTAACTAGCGGTGAATACTTGTCGTTAACGAGCTTCGGGTAACCCAACTTTGCTCATTTGGTCGGTTGGAATTTGGAGACTACCCGGATTTTGTTGGCTGATCAAGTTCGAGTTGCTTCGCTTCTGACCATCTAATTGGACACCTTAAGGCAGGTGTTCTTGTCTTCAACGTCCGTCTTTCGGGAAAATAAAAAAAATACACCTGATAATTGATCGGCTAATGTTAATGTGTGTGACAGTGTGTGTGTGTGTAAGTGTGACAGATTATAATCACCTAACTGATGTGCTTCTTTCAGTATCTCCTGAGGTTACAGTAAAGTCTTCCAGGATTACTCTCAGGCCATCAGTGAGGTGTACCCGGACATCCGCATCCAAGGCGAGAACTACCCTCCCACTGGCTTCAGCAGGTGAGGTGCTCCGTCTGTAAACTCTGTCCCCAGCCTCTACAGCTGTGTCTAACCTGCCTCCTCCCGTCAGGTGTGCGGCTCAGCTGATCTCGTATCTGAAGCTGCTCTCCATTTTGGTTATCGTCAGTGGTCAGAACCCCTTCTCGCTTCTCCACCTCCAGACGCCACCTGCCTGGACCTGGAGTCAGAACAACAAGGTACCAGCACTTAGCAGATAGCACATGTGCATAGCTCCGTGATTGGCTGTTTGTTAGTGGTTCTTGATTGGTGCTGCCTGAGCCGCTGTTCAATACTGATAATGTTTAATCACAAACTGATGACACATACAGGCAAACTCCACCCACACTGTTGTTTCAGGTGGGACTTACTAATGACAGTAAATCTACCATTCCATCAACACGCTCGTCCACTGTTTCCATGTCACGCTTTGCCTCTCCAAAATGTGAAATGTACACGCTTGCAGAAGTTGCAGTAATCTGTAGTACCAGCAGAAGGAGACGTTTTATTTCAAGCCAACATGAATATAATCACAGCAACGTGTTTATACAGACATTTACATGGAAATACATATTAGCATAGTATAATGGATTTTGCTGATTAAGGACCCTGGAATTAATGTTTTTTTGCTCTCTACTGACTTGACTTTAAATACATTAGCTCCCCCTGCTGGTAATCCAATTTTTACATGGGTGTGTAAATGGATACAGTGGACTAGCGTGCCTATTACACATTTTGCCGTGACATCAGAGCTACTGGAACATGCCCACCTGCTGTGAAAAAAACATTACTGGAGTCCTTTGCTCTCCATTCATTCTTCAAACATCTGCAAGTATAACTTATCCAAAGAGCCAGATAGTCGCTGTGCTATCTGATGCACTAATCAGTGCTGGTTATGGATCCAACAGGTGAGCTCAAGTCTCTTAACTCTGAAGCTCTTTTTCCATTAGTGCCTGCTCAAATCAACTCTGCACGGTTCATCACTGTTTGCCGGGTTTTGCATCAGGTCACAGCACCTGGTACTTTTTTTTTTTTTTTTTTTTTTTTAACTGCTTTCCCAGGATTCCAATCGATCCGGGCAGGTACTAAAATGTGACATCGTCTGACTGCATGCCACTGATTGGCTGGTCAGTAGTATCGTTCGATGAGTCTGAGAGTGTGTCACTCACGAAAATCTAAACCACCATATTTTTTTTTTAATTAGAATTAGAATTCAACTTTATTGTCATTGCACATGCACAGGTACAGGGCAACGAAATGCAGTTTGCATCCATCCAGAAGTGCTTTAGCCATGATATAGATATATTACAATATATATTAGCAATAATATAGATATGTAAGTATATTACAGAAATGGGTCTATTGTGGTATGTTATAATGTACACGGTGTGAAGTATGTTATGAATACTGTACAACTATAAGTATGTACAGGCTGTAGTGAGTACAAGCTATGTACAGGATATAAATATGAAATAAAAAAACTATACAGAAATCTGAGATATACAGCTATACAGAAATGGGAACTATGCAAGTTGTAAACAGTTGTAGGATTAAAAATTATCAAATGTACAGAATGATTATTTACACAGAGCTATACAGTAGTGCAGTTAAGATAAGTGAGGGTGTGGATAATTTCTACAGAGGCTATATAAAGTGCTAGTGGTTGTGAGTGGTGGTTCAGTCCATGTTATTATTGTGTGTTTGAGGGTACAGTTGTCCATTGTGGGTGTGTGTGTGTTCAGTCCATGAGTTTAACGTGGGTCAGATGTCAGGAGGCAGAGTTCAGGAGTCTGACAGCTGTGGGGAAGAAGCTGTTCCGGTACCTGGTGGTCTTAGTCCGGAGGCTCCTGTAGCGCCTCCCAGAGGGCAGGAGGGTGAAGAGTCCATGTGAACGGTGACTGGGGTCTTTGATGATTTTCCCAGCCCTTTTCAGACACCGCTTCCTGTAGATGTCCTTTATGGCAGGAAGTGGTGCTCCGGCGATGCGCTGGGCAGTTTTCACGACCCTCTGCAACGCCTTCCGGTCCGAGGCAGAGCAGTTCCCATACCAGACTGTTATACAGTTGGTCAGGATGCTCTCGATGGTGCAACGATAGAAGTTCACCAGGATGTCTGAGGACAGGTGGTTCTTCCTCAGAGTCCTCAAGAAGAAGAGGCGCTGGTGAGCCTTCTTGACCAGCTTGGAGCAGTTGGTCGTCCAGGTGAGATCCTCGGAGATGTGGACTCCCAGGAACTTGAAGCTGCTCACACGCTCCACAGCCGTCCCCTTAATGTGGATGTGGGTCAGCATTCCTCCTGTAGACCACGATGAGCTCCTTGGTCTTCTCGGTGTTAAGCAGCAGGTTGTTTCTGTCGCACCACTTAGCCAGACGATCCACCTCCTCCCTGTAGGCGGCCTCATCCTTGTCACTGATGAGGCCAATCACCGTGGTGTCATCTGCAAACTTAATGATGGTGTTGGAACCATCAGCCGGTCTGCAGTCGTGGGTGAAGAGGGAGTAGACGAAAGGGCTCATCACACAGCCTTGTGGTACACCGGTGTTCATTGTGATTGTAGATGAGCTCCGAGTCGTGGCAAGTTGATCCCAGTAGGTAGTAATGGAAAAGGAGCTTGACAGGCCAAATCTCACCAATCCCTGTTTCTCCAGGCTGTCAGTGTAGCTCATTTAAACTGAGGAATGATTTAAATGGCCTTGGAAAAACACTCATGAATAGACTGATGACTGAGGTTATGGTGTGATCAGAGCGCTAGCTTGTAGAATCGTCCGCCTATCCTGCTGCTGTTACCACGGTAATGGGTGCTGTTTACTGATTACCATGGTAACGGACACTGTGCTTCTGTTGCAGATCTTCTCCTGCCTCATGGCCTTCTTCCTCTGTAACATGATGGAGACTCACTTCCTGTCCACTGGAGCCTTTGAGGTCACACTAAATGGTGAGTTCTGATTGGACCAGACCTTTGTGTTAACATCATGCTTGTGACACAGTTTCAGTACTACAACTCAAATTACTGTAGTAGTTCACGCTTGTTTGTTTATTTGTTTATTTATAAGGAACCCCATTAGCTTCCACAACAGTGGTTGCTAGTCTTCCTGGACGCTTGTCTGCACTAAAGTCAAAGTATTCAGAGTAATAAACTGTCAGTCATCAGAAACAGAACAGCACTTCTTACTATAACCAATTACATCACTGCTGACCTCACATCCTGCTGTAATGCTGCCTGATCTGTACCAGAAACCCAGTTTGTTGTTTACTTATATGAAAGTGCTCATACTTCCTGTCACTCTGACAGCAAGCTCTGCGTACATGTCTTAGACATGATCTCTCACTCTTTTCTTTGTGTGAGTTATTAAAGAGAACATGTATGTATTCAGTCTAATTTCTATCCTGGAGCTCTGCTCAAACAAACTGTATGTGAAGCTTGATTTAAAAACAAAAAACATTCACAGATAGGGCTGTTCAATATAACGATATATATCGGATGCACACTTAGCACTTAGTTCCTCCTACGCCGAGCGGCGCATCGGGCAGCTAGTGATCTCCATCGATGTCGGTCAGCAGCGACTGCTTCAGCTTCGTCCCAGGCAATGTCGACAGTTCTCAGATTGTCCATAAATGTTCGATGACGATATAAAAACATCTATCGTTTCCTATCACGCTATCATTTGTTTCGTGGTGTCGCAAAATAAACTGTTTACAGCAATATTTTTTCATTATTTCTATGGTCACTGTAGTGACTATATTAATTTCTTAAAGCTCTCTCTTTCTCTTATATTTAATATAACCACACTATGGACGGACAAGCGCCTGTTTTTTACGTGCTGTCGTTAGCAACAATGACGGTAAAACCATCGCGTGGCTCCGCTGTATGCAGAGTGTTTACGGATGAGAAGCAAAAAGAGCCGTCAGGTGCTAAAAAATAAACTTCAGACTCA